AAAAAAGTGCAAAAGAGATAAATCAAAACACAATTTGCATGCAGTTCCACAATCAGGCTTATTGGGTGCAAATGCTCTATTTCTTTCCCAAAGCAAATGAGTTTAAAGGTTGTTTTATCTTTTTAGAATTGTGTGATTTGAAGTGACAGTGAAGAGTTCTGCAGGTTGAAATGGTGAAAAGGGAAAAGAAGAAGAAATGCTTGCAAAGACCTTTTGAATATGCAACAAGAATATCATTAATACCTAATTGTTTTGCCTTTTTGTCTTTGCTCCAGAAACACAGTATTTTCAATCTGAAAAAGTTACTCTAGAAAATGTAAATAAATGTAGACAGGAAAACTACTAAAAGGTTTAGCTATTGGAAAAAGCCCATTACGCTACAAATAGAAAGCTCTACTGCTGTCAGAAAAATAAAAAATGTTGATTGTGGTTTCTTCAGATTAGATTTGCCAATAACATGTATTTTAATATAGCCAAGGACTTTGAGACAAATAAAATAACTTCAAAATGTCCAAAGATGATCATCTTTGTTATTTTTCCAAAATATAACCAGTATTTCCTTTTAAAATAGAAAACAATTATTTCTGTATTCTAACAAAGTCCACTATGCTAGCACAAACCCTCAGTAGAATGGAATGTAAGTAAATCTCCTTTCCACAATGAAAAAAAAACAACAACAAATTGACTATTTTTATTTTAATGCATCACCTCCTAAACTAACAAGTTTTGGCAAGTATGAATTAACACTACATATTTACTTAGACAAAGCAAAGTAGTTTATGGAAGTGTAAGTGTACATTTAAAATCAATATACACATGGGAAGCTCTGTGCAGTGGCACGTGACTGGATTACTTTAATTATAATCTTGACATCGTTCTTCTAATAAAAGACAAAGCATTGTTGACTATGTGGCCGCTTTTAATAGACAACGTAACTAGATCCTTGTTATGCCGTGAAATAAAATGTCTGCATTTTATTGCATGGGTTCATTTCCAAAATCTTTAATTGTTTGTGAACAAGTTAAAGGAACAAAATATAAGCTCAACAAAATAGTTTAAATTTGACACAGAAAATAAGTCATGTGTTGCTCTGCATCTCTCTTCACCTGAAAACACTTTCTTATGTGAAAATAAGTCAGAGCAATACTATCACTATAGACTACAGGATTCATCTAATACAAATGCCCAGAAGAATCTTATCAGAAATATTTTGTTGATTGATTATGAATCATACATATGTAATTTGGGGTCTATTACAAAGTGTTAAACAAATTTTCTTAATGTATTTGTATATTAAGTCATATAACAGCATCCTTTTCTTTTAAATATTAGAATAAACTTTGTAATGCTACAGTCAGAATTAATCATTTGTTTTCTGATTTCAGTAATCTTCCAAAATATCACAAATTATTTCTTAAGTAGGTTTTGTAAAAAGACTCACTCATTCTGACCCATGAAAAGGTTAAAGTTTTATTTCATGGCTCCTAAAAATAAGTTATATAATGATGGCTAATGATAAGTATGGTTCAGAATGCTGTGTATAGGAATGGGTGTACAACATTTTAATTTACACTACACAAAAATTCTCATATAAATTGGTTGAGTATTCATACACACAACACCAATGCTATATACATTAAATGGAACTTATAAAACTTCACTTGTACATGCATAGTTCTTAACAGACCAGTACACAAGTTCAATTAAGAAAATATTGTGCCACATAGTAAGAGTGAGGAAAAAATGTTAAATATGTCCAATCTTTGATTAATCTCTATGGCTGTGGTTTCATTCTAACGAAAAAGCAAAGCTGGATTTTTTAAAAATCACACGAATAATACAGAAAGTAAACAAAATTTCAACTGTGAGAACTATAATTACTTTTCCAGAAATTTGAGTCTGACTCGGAATTTAAAATTATGTTCAAATGCAATCTGCTATAAAATTGGTTTTGTAATTTGGGATAAGAAAGGAATGTACAACATTTTGGAATTGCAGGATATAGTGCTTAAGAAATATGATAGAAAAAAATCTAATTTTTCAGTGATATCACAATCTTTCCTAACACTATTTATAGGAATATAATAATTTTACATTGTATGACAAAATTCACCTAAAATGTATTATATAATTCGTGGACTGCATACAGTAGTGTCCAGGATTTGATACATTTAGTAAGAGAGGAGAATTTCATTACATATGACAATTTATCTATTTTCGTTAGGTATTTCTGGATATGAAATATATTGGTCTGGTCAATAAATAATTTGGCAAACTAAGTGTTATGTTTTAAGCATTTCAAATTAATTAATATATTACAATTAATAATGTTAAGCTGCAGACATTCAACTTTAAGATAATTCATTTGAAAAAAGTTTGTTTCACACGCATTCTTAATCACATTGACTATCTCACTGTTAGATGTGAAACTTATCTTCAAAAATATCTTGGTAGCAGTTATTTCTAAACAGATGAAGAAACATTTTATTTCCTTAATTAGGTAAAAGGGGCTTATACACATACACTTTCTCCCATATAATCTTTTAAACTGAGAGTTGCTTTTGCCCTTGGACAGGTATGTGCTTTATTTCAGTCCTGTTGGTCTCTTTCTCCCATGCCCTAGCCATATCTCTCATCTTTCTGAGCATCTTTTGGCTTGTCTGGCTGCATCTTTCAAACCCTCCTACAGCATCTCTTAGTGACTATGTCCACATTTTGAGATCCTCTGCCCTTGTCTCTCAACCTCTCATTGCATATCTTACCTAAACTCCCAGCCCCAGTCATGTAAGTATGATGAAGAGCAAATTGAAATAAACACGCATTTCAATCTTTTGCGCATCTCATGCCATTTTTGTCAACATGCACATATCTACAAACCATGTGTGTAATCATCCATTCAGTTGCATAGTTATTTATTTCTGCTAATCAAAGTGGTCATTTTGTGTCAAAGAATGTGATTCTGAGATCAACCTGCAAGTCAGATTTCAAAATCATGTTATTTTAATAGTTAGGGCACCAAGATTTTGTGATTCTTTTGCAAAAAAAAATTTAAGTACTAAGTATGCTAAAGGTTATGGAATTTTTTTCCCATCTTTTTCAAATACTGTGGTCACACAACTTATACATCAAAACTTTAATGTGTCAGTAGCTGTGAGACCACAGAGGAGTAGGACTTGTTGAAATAAATGGGAATCAGGAGAAACTGAATGCAAGCAAGAAAAAGAATACAAGTCATATAGACAGAGACAGGAATGGAATTGAAACAGCTCTGAATGTCACCTTTATCACTGAAAAAAAGACATAATATTAAAACATTGCCATGCAAAAATCAAAAGCCAATGGCAATGGGAGCTGAATCAGACTCCAAATAAGTGAAACAGGACTTCAAATTTCTTTCTGTGCATGCATTTACTTAAAACATGGAACTATTGCATAGCAGACTCTAAGCATTAAGAGCTAATCATCTGTATTCTAATATAGAAAGTTAACTTTTCTCTGATGTAAGCCTAAACAACATACATGTGAACAGTATATGCAACGATAACGTTTCTTGCTAAAACAGAAAGGTGAGTCTGAGTTTTTCCCCTAGAAATTGCTGAATGTTAAACTACTGGATGTCAGCTAGAGTTCTCTCTCATAATTTACCCCTTCTTACTACATATTTCTAAGCCCAGAAAGTTTTTATTGATGAGATCATTACCATTTCTAAAGCAAAAACTATGAGGTCACAAACAAGGATTATGACCTCACTTATGAACAACACAGTAGGATTCTTCCGAGAATACGATCAGTTTTGAGTTTAAGTCTTAAACACAACAGGACAAGGGCTATACCACAATATAGATTAAATAATGTACCATTATTCTAGAGTTATACTAAGCAACAGTTTGTCTATAAACTACACACAGCACACTTTCTTTGGCTATCATTATTTGCTAGACTTAGGAGGACTGCTTCACAAGTTATGTTAACAATCCAGACAACTAGAAACTATAAGTTTTAGGGAGAGAAAACATGCATGGCTAAGAACTTAAAGCAAAAAGCACTAAGATTCCTTTTTAGGTAGTCATTTGAAAGATGGCCCTGATACAATATCTGTGAGAAGGTGCAAAATCATTTAATATAATGTGCCAAGTTCCTGATTAATGCAGCTAGCTATGTAGCACACAGATTCAATAAACGAGTAGCAAGAAAGTTCAACATTTTAAGAGTTTTGTGCAATCACCTGTACTAAATCACTTCCCTTTCTTTAGAACAGATATGATACAATTTATTACCTCCTTTACATCTAACTCTGCTACAATCCCTTCTGACAGCACTCATGTTCCTACTGCTTCCGTAGTTACAGACAGTGAGTTAAGCTGACCGTATGGTCCAGAAAACTTGCCTGAAAGTTTCCCAAAGTGAAGGGAGCATCCCCATAACACTACCCCATTCACAACTTGGCTATTCATGCCAATGTGGGATTTCCGTTTCTAAAGCCTTGCTCTTGTTGCATCCTGCATCTCCACCCTCTCTAAAAAAAATGTCATCGCAGGCTAAGTGGCAGTTTGCACGCTATCAACAGACCGTCCCGTCTAGCCGCGCAGCGGAGCCCCACCATTAAGCCGGCAAGGCGCTCATCTGCCCTGAGACAGAAGCTGCTGGACTGGAAGCACCTTGCGAAGCGCACTAGGGAGCACTCCGCCCGAACCCGGGGAGGGACGCAGCGGGCTCAGGAGAGCTCAGCCGCAGGCTCTTTGATCCATTTACAGAGCAGAGCCACCAGCCGCTCGGGAACACGCTCATCGCCCGCCTAAGGCTCGGGACCCCTGCGGAAAGAAAGTTTTCCAGGCGCGAGTGCGTCTGCCCAGCGCTCTGCCCGCCAGAGCGCAAGGTGGCCGGTTACCCGCCGTGCCTGGAAGAGGCTGAGCGCCCTGCTTTGCCCTAGGCAGGCGGGCGGCCCCGCGCGGAGAGGCGCAGAGCCGCGGCCCGGAGCGCCAGCGAAGTTTACCGCTCACCTGGCGTTGGTGCAGTCGTTGTACAAAGTTTCGAAGTCTTTCCTGGTGATGAGCTTGCAGCGGTTCACGCCGGGCTGGATGGCTCCCAGCCCCCGCAGGATGCGGACCTGCTCCACCGTGCACACCACGGGCGATATATCCAGCCGCTTCAGCTTGGTGTAGACCGTGTGCAGCCCCCCCACCAGGTGCTTGAGGAAGAGGTCAAAGACCTGCGGCAGGCAGATCAGCTCCTGCCCCTCCACCAGGAAAGAAGCCACCTTCACCCCGTGCAGATCGACCATCTTACACTCGCTGCTGCCGCCGGCGGCGCCCGCGCCG